CATATTATAAGGTAAGGTTATAAAACCACCATTTAAGATCATTTTAGTGAAAGTTTCATGTTCCTATCTCATAGAATTTAAGAACAATGATGAATAAATAATTTTCGAGCAAAATTTAAATGGCCGGCTGAATATATTACCGCAGGAGCCGCGGCCGCGGAATTTAAATGACCACGTCAAAGGGTTAAGATATTAATTTTACTTTCAGAAGCATATGAACTCAAATCAAGATACTTAAGGAAATTTCAATGTTCCAACAATATTCTCATCAAAGCAGTAATTCTGAGAAATTAAAAATAAAAAAAAATGTCATTCTTACAATACAGAAAGACTATGCAGACAGTCTCTTCACATATCCTTAAGCAGGAATGCCAAAATGCATTAGCATTTCTCTTGACAGAATTATATTTCTGATAAGTTATGTAAAGTCTGGAGTAGGGAGAACTCGCTACTCTCAAATTATAAATGAGTGCATATATCTNCCCCCCCCCCCCCCAACCACACACACATGCACGTACACACAGAGAGACTGGACTCTTTCTTTCTTGCCAACATATATGTATACACTACAAAAAGCCTGTCTTAATATAGACATACAAGCCAAACCGATCACTATACTGCCCCCTCCAGTACTTCTGTATAGGCCTGGAGGTGCCTTGTCTTGACTGATAAAGTGCTGAAGTAGTGTCTTGACAAGTAATGGAGCATGTATCGAGTAGCGACCTTGCATAAGACTCCTGCAACACAGGAAGAATCCAATGTTAAGTAAAAGTGTCATTAGACAAAGCCTGCTGAACCCAATGGTGAGACTCAAAGTAATTAATTATTACTGGTCTACTGTGGCACCTATGACAACAGGTTCATAACTGAACAACTGATGTGCCAACATAGCTACACTATTGCAGAAAGGAATTAATGGTTCAGGGTGACCTACAATATCATGTTAGCATCAACAACATCAGTCAAATGTTCAAAAATGTTCAAAAGGCATTGGTGAGCACAGATAGGTAGAACAGGACTTGTTACATTTTAAAATCAGTGTAAAAATCGTGAAGAAAGATTTGGCAGAAGTCGCTTGCGTGGCAATAAAATGTTCTAAAATGAAATAGCACATTTCACTTCTGCTTTCAATTAAAATATAGAAATATCAGTACAGAATGCAATTTTATCACATAATCCTTTGATGAGATTAAATAGTTTACCTGTAAATACAGGACTTTGAAGCGGGTCGTTGTGAGAACATCTGTACAGACAGCAGCACTAGCAGGCAGTTGACAGCTTCTAAATGTAATGGGTATGTGAAGTCTCTGCATCAGAACACGATAACTTTGGCGTTAATCAACAGAAAAGAAAAGAAACAGATGCACAAATCCCTTCAGCCAATTATTTTTTAATATAATGCCACAAAAATGCCAGTTTCTTATTTTCATTTATTTCAATCTGATTTTCTAAAGTATGTGATAACAAAGTGAAAAATGGTAACACATTTTTTATGGACCAACTATGAAGTCAATAATTATCTGCAATGCAGTTGTATTTGTGTTTCTGCTGGCAGCACTGTCACTTTGCACAGCATCGCTATGCATGGTTTCTGTCTTGTTATTTCTGTGCACATCTGACAGTTCCATCATCGCTGTGTTGCTGTTAATCATAGCTGCTCCGCTTTCTGTTTGCACCAAAGAAGAGCAACATTCAGGTTTTTGTAGCTGGAAGGTGTACTGGGGGCCACAACCCATTAAAGACTTTCAGCACAATACGGGAACTGTTTTTTGCCACAATGAAGTGTCTATGAATGGACTGAAAAATTAAAAAAATGGCAGCACAAGTGTTACACATGAGGAAGGAGCCAGACGCCAATCCATGGCCACAAATGAGGACAACACTGAGCATACATGTGACATAGTGCTGTTAGACAGATCAGTGACTATTGATGAAGAGGCAAATAATCTGCAAATCAGTCATGACTCTGCCTACAAAAAAACCCACAACAGACTTGGGTTTCATAGTCTGTGCAAGATGGGTCCCAAAATGACTCACAATGCTGCATAAACAAAGATGCTTGGACATCTGCCAACAACATTTGGATTGCTATGGTAATGAACGTGATCCTTCTCAGACAGAACCATCACTAGTGATGAAACATGAATCCATCATTGTGAGCCATAGGATAAACAGCAGAGTATGGCATAGAAACATCCACATTTTCACAGCAAGGAAAAGTTCAAAAGTCAACCATCAACAGGAACACCAATACTTACACTTTTGGGGGGGGGGGCTCACAAGGCTCCAGATTCTTCTGGAAACACACGTCATACATAATAGCTCATCCTGCGTATATTCCCGATCTCGTCCCTTTTGACTATTACTTGTTTGGTCCACTCAAAGAGGCATTAAGGGGTCATTGATTCACCTCGATGGCTACAATCCAATTGTCTTAATTAAACGTAACACATCGCACAATCTAAAATAAGATGGGAACAGTAACCACATAATGAGCCATCCCTCTACATTGCTGGCATGTGGATGTGCTACCCTACTGCCAGCTACATATCCTGCTATTTCATCACTGCATATGCAGGTGTGATCTGAATTTAACAATTTATTTTAATTAATTTTGACTACATCTGTCACTGTTTTGCATTCTGTGTTTAACCTTTAACGTACGGACTTTTAAATTGCCTGCAGCTCCCTACGGCCGGAATTTAAATGGCCCTAAGTCTTTAACATTGCAAACTTTCAGAAAAAAATGCATATTTTCCGTTCTATGCAACATCGGAATATGAACTAAAAAGAACCTGAAAGACAATAAAATTTTCTACATATATACAAAAGGGCAAGTTTTACAAATGAAAATCAACTGTGAGTATTTTGTCATGAAGTGCAAAATATAATCATTATTATATACGTTATGAAATTCCAAAGGACTTACATGTTGTTTTTCTTCAACCTTGAATCGTGGTGGCGATGTAAATATGACGACACTATATACAATAATATTTGGTTCGGACTGTACACGGGTTGGACTGCATCGCTTCACAGTTTCACTCTGACGCGCGTGTCCCACTCTCGAAGCAGTCCATCACACAGCGCGACATCACACTCTACAGCGGTAAAGCGTGCTCCCGCTTTTCTTGTTTATAGAACAAACGTCTTTGTTTCCCTTTAGCTGGTCAGTGTTTTGAATGTTTCACCTCCAGTCGACTCAGTTGGGCCCCAGATGAACTTGGCCTCCCTCGAAAAACACCACTGACCGTGATATTCGCCTCATGTGATTGAAGAATCAAATCACGCACCAAAATTTCGCGGAAATTTTTGTGCGTCATTTTTCCATCACATGACTTGTGTAACAGATATTCATTGAGAACAGACATGTCTAGTAGGTGGAAGAATACTCGCAAAATTGTGATGCAAAGTAATTGCAATAGCAGTCGAAAAGTGCCAGTCCGCCACTGATACCGAAAGTCACAGTGACGAAGATGTCTTTACGCACAAAGTAACACTGGCTCAGTGTATTTATACCACTTCCGAGATACACAATAAAAATGATATAAAAGAAATACAGGAGTCTGACACTGACTTCCTAACTTTTAACAAAATATAGTAAATCCGCCACTGACGTCCTAACTGAGAATTCAACACTGCAAACCAATCCCTGAATGAGCCACACTTCCTTGAAAGCTCTGGCAGCACTGCTATGAAAGTGCTTACGAATATTTCCTCCTCTAACTTCTCAAAACAAAGCTGACCTCTATTGGCTCACCAGGTCATAAACAGTCATATCTAAACGTAAATAGTTTCGAAACCAGTACCCTGATAAACGATTTCATTGTTCAGAGCTAACAAATAAACATCTGACATGAACGTTCATGAGTTTGTTTGGGTTTCAAACCCAAGGTCAAACTGCCAGCACTCACAAAGGAAGCACGTGGCTTGTCCCTAAAAATTATAACATTCGGCCAGCTCGGGGTGCTACTTGATGCGAATAATTATAACATTCGGCCGTTAAAGGTTAAAAGTACTGTGACATGATTGGGCAAAGAGAAGGTATCCATTGTGTGGTACTGACTTCATAAATCTGCAACCGTGGCAACAGACACACTGACAACAGAAGAGCTGTTAGAATTGGTCTTCTGAGGTCCATCCCGAGACTACACAGCAAGGGCTGTAGGGAGAAGTCACAGAGAGATAGCCAGAAAACAGACAGTGATGGCTATGATGCCAAGTTGCATCTGACACTTAACTGCAAGTCAGCCATCATCCAGTGAAGACGCTATGAAGCAACAACTAGTGAAGATACAGCAGACTGAGAAGACTTAGTGTTTGCAGCAGTGGTTTTTTAAGTGTGTAGATTATCAACAGTATTATAATAACTTCTAGTTATGAGTCCTCAGTAAATCTAATTACCAAAACTGACCCCATGTCCAGCCACTAACACATGGCAATATTATTAGTTATCCCAGTTTTTTGTATCTGTATCACACAGAAAGGAATCTCAGACATGACAGCTGATATCTGGGTTGCGATTCTGACCTTGGACCTCCTGAGAGCAAACAGGGGTAAAAATAACTACACCAAGTTTACACCTTATATATTTGTGTCCCTGCTCACATACGATACAATGTACACATACAATCCCAATAAAACTGTCTTACTTATGAAAGGTGTGGTTTTTGCTGCTCTGCTTACACATAAGAAATGATATAAACTGAGCCACATTGCTAGGGTAAATTAAATTCATAAAATATCTATGCTGAACTCACTTGACAGGCACATCGACTACTATCTCTATAAGGGAGTCCAGGAACACTTCCAGCCGGTTCACATTTTCATCTTCTCGATGTTTACCTACAACAGTACTTTCTGTTACAAGGCATCTCTGTGTACTGAAGCCACATACAAATTTTCAGATCAAATGAACTTTGCCTCAAATGTGAATACTTGTATTTTATTTCATAAGTCTGGAGATTCATCCATCTTAAATTTGTGTGATCAAGAGATCGTGCTGATTATTGAATATAGAAATATATGCATACTCTCCTCTTTGTTTAATTACCTTGAAAACAGCAAGACTTATAGAAAAATGTACCAAACTTAAAATGCATTTCATTTTTCTCTATGGCTTTTATTTGAGCAGTTTTCACTCCAGTAAACCTATTGCAAGTTTCACTTGAAACACATGTAGAAATGGAAGAATATTTTCATGTACAGTTATTAAAACTGTCCAACCTAAATGGCCTGACAATTCTTTGCAAAACTTTTCAGCACCAAATTTCATAGAAATCTGCTCACCAGTTCTCAAATTGTTTCATGCACACTAATGGACTTCACAAACTTATTACTTGCAAGTCTGTAAATGATCTTAAAAAACTGAAGTGAAAGCCAGATAATCAATGCAGAGATAATGGGGAGTATAATGTATATTATGTATATTGTGAGGGGATAGCTCAATCACTACAGTGATGTGCTACGGGATGGATGGCTGGGGTTCAATTCCTGATAGAGGTGAGAGAACTTTCTCTACTCCAGAGTGACCAGACTGACTCTGGGGCTCACTCAGCCTATCCATTGGGTACCGAGGGCTGATTCCCTGGGGGTAAAGCAGCCAGCGCATGATGACCACTCACCTCCATTTAGTGCCAAGGTCAAGAACAATGGTGCTCCACACTCCCATACATATTCATGATGTGATGATTAATTAATTAAGCATAGGTTCATCTTTACCTTTACCTCCACAAAACAAAAAATTCAGTAGAACATGGAGAAAAAAGTAATCAATAATAATAATAAGAGGAGGAGGACATCAATGCTATTACTAGCTTACCATCGGCCTGCTGAAGTGGGCGAGCCTCGAACTGCCGCACCAAATCCTCTTCTTTCAAATTCTCCACGAAGAACTTGGTGACACAGCGAAGTATGAATAGCGCATTGTAAGCCTGCCAACTGAACATATTACTGAAACAAGAAAGTGTAACTGCTGTTTTGAAACCGGAAGCCAAGCAGAACATTTTAAATTCTAATCTGTGGGCCTGTTTCCTATGAGGAAAAATGGCCAAGAAAACTGTTGTCATTCTCTGTGCACATGCACCACAAATAACTCAAAGCAGTAGAGTGATCTTAACATTCGGTACACAAGTTAATCTACTGAAACCATAATTTTTAAATTAAATTTATCAGAAACTTCAGGTTAGCTAATATGTTACATACTTAGGTGGAAGCATTTCCAAAACTATGGTAAGTTAAAGTAAAGTTGTCCCTGTGCTTAATTAATTAAGCATTATGCCATGAAGAGATATCAGGGAGTGGACGTATAACTCCACCATTCATGGTCTTGGCACAAGGTGGAGGCGAGCAGTAAGTTTCATGCCCAGCTGCTTTACGCCCCATGAAAGAGCCCCTGGTACTGAATGGATAGGAGGTTGGGTAGGCCCCAATCCAGTCTATGTGCTATGGAGTACAGAAAATCTTGTCCCTGCCAGAATTTTAACCCTGGCCATCCAGCCCATGGCCAGTCACTATAAGAACTAACCTATCAGAACTCATCATTTCCAGAATTATTCAACATAAAATTGTACAGTCAACTGTAAACGTTTCTGACTTTGGACTACTGTGTTTGCAAACTTTATTCTTTTCTGGTGTGGGTTTGTCAATACTACAATAGACAACCACTTCGAAAAGTTTGTGGGCCCTGAAAAGGGCCGTTTGTTGCACCTTGCATGCACTGGTAGAAACAGCTGCCTACTGTGGTTGCTGGAGTTTCGACAGCTGCGTTAGTTGCCTGGTCGCAGGGCGTGGTCGCTAGAGACTTGCAGCAACTACGTCAGTTGCCTGGTCGCAGTGAAGAGCTGATGACTCCGATGACTGTTCGCTCTGAACTGAATGTGATCACTGGTGATTGCAAGTTTTGGACTCTGCCTTTTATACCATGCTTGATGGGCGGAGCGAAACTTGCAGTTGCGATTGTTAGTGCTGATTGGCTAGCGCACGTTATGATCTAAATGTGGGCTGGACAGAGAGTGCTGATAAATACGAGTGCTGCCAGCAATGTGATTGGTTAGCACATGTGATGACCTAGAGGTGGTTTGGACATCGAGTGCTGTATAAATATGAGCATAATGTGTGGCAATGTGATTTTGACTTAGGAGTGAGTGTTGTCTGTTAGACCGGCGAAACAGCGTGTACATATGTGGGATGTTCCCACACTGGTATTCTAGAAGAACACAACAGCATTTCAGAAAATTGGTCTGTTTCTGCCCACAGATGAACCTAGGTGGACCGCGTGATTATGACTTCTTCTTACAGATGCCAACTGAGTAGGTACCTACCTATCCTTTCACCCGAAGATGGAAATAGATGCAGTTTCTGAAACGCTGAATTATTTCAGAAAAATGAATGATAGGAAAATTTCAGAAACTCAGTAATCCCAAATACACTTCTAAAATTTCATATTTCTATCATGTCTCTGAAAAAAAAATAACTTTTCTGCATTATCCTCATTAGAGGCAGCACATATACTGACATAAAGATACAGTTCTTTCCTTATTTTCTTCATAGCCAAAGAATATCTGAGTTGCAGTATCAATTTCAGTCATCAGCATAAAGATATGTTGACTGGTATAAGTGCAACTATATCACAAAATTACAAATGCTGTTGCTACCAAAGATTATAAAAATGTGAGCATATACACAGTGAGGTCTCACAACCAAATAATTAAAATGGCATTTTTGTCCATACATGAATGCATAACTCACACATATTTCGTAACAGTACCAGCTCAATTCAGCCTCTATTGCAAAAAGCAGTACAAATTTTGTACAATCAGTGGACTGCTGCTGTTGAAAGATCAGTGATAGTTGTAAGTAGAATTAATAGTGTCTTGGACTGTTACAAAATGCAGCTCGCAGCCAAAACAGGACACATCACAGACACAGTACACACAGAAACGACTCCCATGTGGACAAACCATACTATATGCGAGTTTGAATTAAGACATATAGATGAATAATCTTAACAAGTTTTAGTATATACAAATTTTATTATAGTTGACGAATAATGTACTTTCTAAATAATTTTATGAAAGACACAAGATGGCAAATAATGTAATAGCTAAGGGTAAATAACGAACCTGAAGATGGCACTATGTTGCTGAAACATGTAGTAAGAAGTGACATATGAAATTGAGTGCACTACAAGATGGCCATTACATACATATCATGGATGAAAATCAGTGCAACAGGATGCTAAAATACAACATTACAATTTTGCGTTCCCATGCAGAATGCTAAGTCTTACTTGTCAGTCTGTGCTGAGGCAAGCAGCTCCGAGGCTCGACTAAAGAAAACATGAAGCAGTGAGCCAAAATTACCAGAATGCAGATTGTTTGCAAGTAACTGCTGACAAGTCGCATCAATCCTTTCATCTAGTGCATGATGTTCCAAACTGTCAACAGTAACACAAACTGAGTTGAACACACATGCCAGTTCACCTTGTGAACAGAAAATTGGATTCTGATCTCACTTATTCAACTGAAAACTACAAAACTTTCACTGTGTCACTAAGAAACTCACATTAAACCTCATGATCAAATTCACTTTCACTCTCTTAAAAAAAATGTAATATTAGATACTACTCCTACTTGTACGGCCATGGCTATAGGATAGCCCTACCCCTAGTGGTGATAATGTTTTCTCATCCTTGATGTTAAGAATCCATTTTATTCATGACATGATATAGTCTACCTCTATCCCTAGCCCTACCCCTCCAAGGTGTGAGGCATCGTGCTGAGGGCTGTGTGGCACTGAAGTGGAATTTATGATAATGGTCCCTTCGGGGAATCAGACAGCACCCTGTTGTATTCATGGCAACCACCCACATCCGGCACTGTGGGTGGTGACATTTTAGATACACTTTACTCATTGGATCAAAAATGGATATAACGAAAAAGAAATCTCTAAAAGAAAGAGACACTCCCTTTCAAGGGGTTCTCTATAAGAAATTATTCAGTAGTGGGCTGAGAGCCCTGATGCACCATCAAGGGGCACTGGAGCAACCAGTGAACCCACTTTTGAGGTATAAGCCTAGGGCAAGGACAAACCAGTAGTCAGAAATCTGCCTGGGTTAACATCAAGAACCCTTATCTTGTGAGTCAGCAGTTCTGACACACCACTGCAGGGGACTAGCAGTTCTAGCATACCTGCAGAAGGAGGTCTGAGGAGTAGGCAGGCTCCACCTATTGTGGACAAAAATGTCTGGAAGCACTAGGCAAGAGCTGAAAAAAGCAGTCAAGCCAGGCAGGATCTGGGGGCACCCAGTGACCAAGGAATGTAGGCATGTCTAAGATGGTGAAACCCTGGCCGGAACCCCTAAGAGGCCATGGTCTAATGGTAGTACCCCTGTGGAAAGGGTCAGACCTCCAGAAAGGCCAAGGGACATATAAGAACGTTCAACCAATATCAAGATTGATACCACCAAGGAAAACTATCCTGAAGATGAGCTATCAGAAGATGATCAAGATCATTTACATGAAGAATTGGGAAGGGTGTTTCGTGGAACTCCAAAAGGAGAACTGCCACATCTGAGGTCCTTCAGGCTGGAGGGAGCTCTCGTGTATGCGTGCGCTGACCAACAATCTGGACAGAGGCTCATTAGGGCCACTGACAATATTAGGCTGGGTTCAGGAGCCAGGCTGAAGGCTACAAATGTCAGGAACCTCCCCAAGCCTGCCAATGTGACACTCAGGAGGAAGGACAAAGTTGCCGAGAGTCCTACTGAGCTGCTGAAGTGAATTAAGTACCTTACCCCTGGGCTTCATATGGGCACTGGAGGGTGCTGGATAGGCAACCTGAGCCAAAAAGTCACAGGCTTTTCCTTTTTATGGACTGGGACTCCCTTAAAGCCATCAAGGTCTGGAATAAGATTTTCACAGGACTCACTAAGAGGACTGTTAAAGTAGTGAGAGAAACTGAAGAAGGGCCCAAGCCCTGCAGTGAGCCCAGCATCCTCAGGATCTGTCTTCATGGAGGAATGGTCTGTTACGTTCACCCCCTCCAGAACTAAGACTGCCGAAAGGAGGAGGGCAACAAGGGCTGTGGGGGAAATACCTGCAACTACAACCCTGCTCCAGTAGATTCAGAGCCTCCTTCAAAGAGAACCTGGTCTTCTGAGGAAGGAGAAGGGTAGGAGGGGACAGAAAAAGACCCTCTTCCCAACAAAATGGGTAAGGAGGCATATGGGGGGAAAACCTAACATCAATATGGATATTAACTTACACCACAGCAAAACAGATACAACAGTTCTAAGCCAGCAGCTCGCTAAGGGAATGACAGATGTGGCACTTATTCGAGAACCTTGGACTCTTAGGGGTGAAATATGAGTCTTAACCCTCTCAGGTGGAACAATTTTTTCTGCTGCACCCGATGGTACTGCAAGGTCCTATATTTATGGCAGGAATCACATTAATGCTCTACCTTTGTTGGAGCTCTGTTCTAGGGATGCAACAACAGTGAGGATGGTGTACAGATGTGGAGGGAGTTCTGAGGAGCTCATTATCACCTCAGCATACATTCCATATGATTCAGACAAACTACCGCCAACTAAGCAACTGTAGGACATCACTGACTACTTCAGTAGGAAAAAGCAACTCATCATTGGGTGTGATGCCCATGCACACCACATATTAAAGTGGAAGACTGACACCAATCCCAAAGGAGGAAGCTTCATGGAATATCTGGTGAGTTTGAACATGAATATTCATAATCAAGGTAACAAACCTACCTTTGTAGTTTGCAGTAGGAAGGACGTTCTTGACTTGAAACAAGGGACCAATAAAATAGGAAAACTGGTATGTAACTGGCATCAATCTGACCAGCCATCTTGGTCAGACCACAGATATATATGCTTTCAAAGAGGTAACATAGCTACAACTAGAGTTGCATCATCTTATCCTATCAGAATAACTATCCAGCCAGGACCACTCACTCACCAAGAAAAAGTACCTTGATGGAATAAATAGCTGAGTGGGCTCATAGTCAAAACAAGGATATTTAATACAGTTCAAAGGACGTCATTTGGACCCCTACAAGGAAGCCCTTACCTGTTACAACAAAGAAATTAGGAAAGCCATAAGGTCTTCATGGAGCAGGTATTGCCAGGAGATCACTGTTGTGTGAGGCATTGCCTGACTCATGAAGATCATGGCAAAACAGGAAACTAACAAGGTTAGCATTATTAATCTCCCTGATGGGCAGTGCACTCAGACTGAAAGGGAGACTCTGAAAGATCTATCCAGAGTTCACTTTTGTGAATGAGTGGTGACTGATGATTCAAATGCTGAGTGGGGACAGCAGAACCTGGACATATGCAAAAGAAGAATGAACAGGGGAGACTGGAACCTCGCCAGGAATGCAATGCAGCAATCTGAAATTGGAAGGCATTACATTCCTTTAAACCCTTTAAATGAGTGGGAAGAGATGAAACTGTACCAGCACTTTTGCAGCAGGGGATGGATCATCTACTCCCATACCTGTGCCACATATTTAGAGCCTGCCTGGCATGTGGATATATCCATATGGCTTGCAGACAGGTTAGAGCAACATTCATATCAAAGCCTAGGAAGTCTGATTATATTGAGGCTAAGGCTTATTGTCCCCTCATCCTGTTGTTTTTCCTTTTGAAGATGACGGAGAAGTTGGTGGATAGACATGTTAGGGGCAGTGTGTTGAAGGAGTATGTTCTGCATCAAAACCAACATGCTTACCACCACCGGAACTGCATTTCACAATGTGGCAACACACATAGAAAGTGCAACTGACTACAAGGAATTAGCCCTCAGAGCATTTCTTGATAGATAGGGAGCTTCTGATGGAACTTCACAAGCTGCTCGAAGGCATGGTATGGAACCCACTACTTGTAGGTGGATCTGTACAATACTGGAAAACAGGAATATAATAACCACTGTGTCAGGAAAAACTTGATGGCGTCCATGACTAGTGGATAACTGCAGGGTGGCATGCTTTGCCTCTTTTGTGGAGCCTGGTTGTGGATGAACTGTGTCTGAGGTCTTACAAACAGCCCTAGGCACAGTCCAACAGTGACGTGACAGGACAAATTTGTTCATCAACCCAAATAAGATGACAATAATATTTTGAATTGTTTCATTTTGGTCCGTTACACTACCAATCACAAAGTTGCTGTGTGCAGTTGTGCAGTACACAGCACACAGCACACAGGAACATATCAAACCATAAGCCACAACCTCAAGCTGACGTCTCCCATCTTCGGGATGAATTAACAAGGAGGAGTTCAGCATTTTATGCCAAATATTTTAACATTTTAGCATTTTAACTTAAAATAGGTTAGGATGAAAAGTGAGAACTTGAGAGTGTACTCAACTATCTTAGCATGTTTTGTGCTTTTACACGTCAACATATCGTAGCAACGTCCGCACGACAAACATAATTGTGAACATCAAAAACAGCGACAGTGTTTCCATAATTATAGCAAGTGCCTCTAATGATGGTTGTGTCAAACCGAAACATGTAAGGCAGAAATAATAATAAAAAAGTGACCTACAAATTGTTACACTCGACGGACTTTCTATTAACTTTATGACAATAATACTTTTCCACTAGGAACAAGGACATTATAGGACTCAATGAACCAAACCTCTTCGAAACTATCCAGTTGTCCAGTGAGGTTAAGTACCTTAGACCCACCTTTGACAAAGGGGTGACATGGAAAAAGAAGCTGGAAAACATAACCAACAAGGCCTATAGAGCCTTTTGGACCTGCAGAAGCATGTCTGGGTGAACATGGGGCCTGAGACCAAAGGAGATATACAGGACACACATTGTGGTCAAGACCCATAGTTACCTATTCTGCCACTGTGTGGTGGCCTAGGATCAAATAAGAGCTGAACTTATCAAATTGCAAAGGATGGCCTGCTTGGGTATTACTGGAGCAATGATGACTGCTCCAATGGCTATAATCGAGGTTCTCATTTCACTCCCCTCCTCCCCCACACTTGCAGTAGGACGCTGAGGCTAGAGCAGAAATTTATTGACTCTACTGCAGTGATCAATGAAAACCAAAATCTCAAGGTTTCGGACATGCACACATGACTCAGGGCATGAATGAAGAACCCATTCTACCATCAGATAAATAAATGTTTAGAATAAAAGTTGTTCGGTTTCGAAGTGGACACACTTTACAGTTCACAGTTTGTTTATAATATTTTTGTTAATGAGATATTAAGGTCACTAGCACTTTTTTAAATGACATCCTATATTTCTTACTTGACAAACCCATAAAACGAACTTGATTTACCATATAAGAGAATTATTCAACTAGTAACAGTTTCGTGACTCCTGGATTGAGTTACTGACATTCTATAAAATGTAATTTTAAAGTACTTTTCAGTTAAAATAACAGATGCAAATCATACTTCTTAACAAGAAATGGAAAATCATAATCAACCACAATATTATAAACTGATATTATAAGTTTAATAATACATGTTAACCTACACGAAAGTAAGTCATGACACTGCTACATAAGTGAATATAAGAGTTCATATCTGTACCTGGTCGCTGGAGGTGTGAAAGAAAATGATAAAAACCTATTCCAAAACGGTTCATTCGGCGACATATGCTCTTTCTTGGCAAATTTTTCGAGGTATTCGTTGGAAGCAAGGTCCCCATGTCGACTTGAAGAAGTTCCCATTCTTTCGTTACCATTCAACGCGACATGCACCTAAAAATGAAATACATATATCGAACACATAACCTCTCAACGTGACATTTGCCCGAAACTATTTAGAAACGTGGCTATGTATTACAAAGAAAATTTTCAAATGACCTTCGCTCCTCTTTCTCCCACAAATCAACTTAAATGGTAATTAAATAAACACTAATCGTCAATCAATAACTACATTTGCAGACCAGACTCCCAAACCTACGCCCACATCGCTTTTTGTTGTAACTAAAAGATGTGCGATAAACTGCGTTCATGCAGATAAAGTAACTGGATTTTCAGTTCATTAATATTTAATGCATTCGGTTTATTTACAACGATACTAAGCAGAACTTTTAGTTTGAACTGCCCACCTTGTGTTATAAGGAATGACGGCTATAAATATTTCAAAATTGGCTGATTAAATTATTCCTAACTTCAAATTAAGGGTTGATATTTTTTTATACCTCTTAAACTCCGTGATAAGAACTACTGCCATCTACAACGGAACTGAGAAATGTATCTGAATTTGAAACGATTTGAAAACAGTCCATTGGTGGTTGCTAACGTTGCTAACGTTGTTAGTTGTCAGGTTGTTAGCGTCGTTAGGGTCGTTAGTCGTTAGTGTTATTACAGGTTAACCGGTTACTACGTCTGTTACCGGTCACAGAAGTACCGGCTGCTACTTTTACTAGCAGGTTAGTAGTAGGGTTATTAGCGTTGCTGTCTCTAGAACAGAATTTTGGATTGTTGTACATTTAAACAGTGTAAGTAATATGTGTTAAGCGTTAAGCTGCTTAACAGCTCTGAATTGTTATCAGTCGTAAGTGCATCAGGTCTAAGTACACATTCTTGTTTAACCAAAATGTACGTTGTTGCATTGAATGTTCGTCCCTGGTACTTATAATTAACTGCAGAATTAATTGTTTTCAAAGGAAGATGACTTTTTTTTTACAGTGCAGTAGAATTCATATTCACTTGTTTTATCCGTTTGATTGAAATATTGCTGCTGATAATGAGACGTTTTCTGTGTATTTATAGCTGATTGAGCCCATTGGTTCTAATCCTTTCTTTTACCATTATTTTTCCGTCACCAGAGTGTTAGTATAGTTACACTGTATGCCCTGTTTAGTAGCCGAGCGGTATGAGGCATGTACTGTCTTCGATACCTTGGAAACCGGGATCGTGGGTTCGAATCCCACTCAGGGCATGGATGTTTAGTTTGTGTGAGCGTTTTTCTGTGTTTGTGTACAGGTAGAGGCCTTGCGACAAGCTGATCACCCGCCCAAGGAGTCCTACCGAATGTCTAAGATCTAGAAAAACTGAAGTGAACGGAGAAGTTCATGGAGGTAGGCCTAGGCCCACTGGGGCTGTAGTGCCAAGGAAGAAAAAATGCCGTGTTAAGTACTACATGTTTTGTCCTTTTCCTTGCCCAGCCATAGGTAAGTACAGTATTTCTTACATTCAACCTTATCTCTGGTGTGCTAATCCTCCATGTGTTGGCCAATGAATGCAGAATGGGAGTGTTTATTTTCAGTATTTATAAAATGTTAAAGTTTTTGATGAAGGTGTATTAATACAGGTATTATGTTTTTGGACATTATCCATCATACTTTTCTTTTGTTTGAAACACACTGTTCCAGAGACCTGATTCTGCCTCCATCTTGAGGCAAAACCTACTGAGTTGGGACCAGTTGATAGACCTAGTCCATATCTCTGGACACCAGCACCAGGTGATCAGGTCTTTATCTGAAAATGGAAACAGAATCCAGTCTTGAAACATAATGTTTTAAATAAGACATAGGATGATTGATAATGTTCAAAAACACAATAATTTTTTCTGCTTCTGTATTTTCTTTGGCCATTAGCAGGTATGTGCAGCTCTTCTTACATTGACCTTCTCTGGTCTGGTGGTCCACTCTACATTTTTCCATTGTTTACAGAATAGGAGTGTTTATTTTAACTTCATATGTTTTATGTAATGCAACTTTTGTATAAGGTGATTTAATGAAGTCTTATATTATTAACATTCAAATTAAAATATTAACATATTAAATGTAAGAATACTGAAGCACTGAAGGTTTGTAATATGCTTGACATGTCTGTGTATCCCTTTCTGGGGAATTCAGGCAGTGTGCTCTGTCTTGTTTTCGGTGTTGTGGAATTTGTTCTCTGTGTGATCCGAACCTGTATGTTGGAGGAGTGCACATGTGTATGTTGTTTCTTAGCTGGTGCTGCTGTTCTAGTTATGTATTTCGTTGGTCTGTATGTATGGAATGTTTTGTTTTCATGTGTTGTTTTTATTCTTGTGCTTTGATCTTACATATGGTTTTCTGTTGTTATTTACCTATATGCTGTACAGGGGCAATCCATGCATTTGCATATGTTGTATGACAGGCTACTTTCTCTTCTCTGTATTGTAATGTTGAGCAAATTGCAAATTAATTTTGTTGTTTTGCTCCTTTTCCATGTTAAGTTGTAAGTTTGGTTGGATGTTGTTGAATTCTTAGTGTAAGATTTGTGTCAGTAAGTTTTTTGTTGCATATTATTAATTTGTCATTTACGTATTTTAATGGTGCCTATTATTTTGTTGTATGTGTAGTTGTACTCTAGGAATTGTAAGAATATTTTGGTTAGGATATGATTGAGGAGGATGGTGCTCCCATTGCCAGCCCTTCATCTTGTTTGTAATCCTTGAGGATTCCACTGAAGCATGCCCTTTGATGGCCGTTCATTATCCTTTCTCAGAATGTGGCTGAGCAATAAGTATACAATATTCCACCTCAGAAACAAATGTTTACATGTATACAATTAACTATGTGATTTTAAGGTGAAAGTATTAATGTAGGATTTGAGGTTTTCACAGCGGTGACTATGAAGAGTACCATATTCTGGGATGGGGCCCTGTGTATATCTTGTGTGACTCGACATTTTGGAGGAATGTACTGCCTCCATCTTCATTACCATCATCATCATCATCACGGGCATACAGCCCTTTGTGAGCCCTGGCCTTCCTCAGGATTGCACGCCATTCTTCTCCATTCGATGCTACATTCCTCCAGTTCTTTACACCCAAAATTCTTATGTCCTACCACACACATTCTTCCCATCTTAATCTTGGTCTTTCCACTCTCCTATTTCCTTCTGGTTTAGTATTAAGCATTTTCTTGATGGTTCTGTTCTTGCTGGCATGTATTATGTGTCCAGCCCATTCAAGCCTTTTCACCTTTATAAATCCAGTAATGTCTGGTTCATTAAATAGTTTGTATAGCTCATGGTTATACCTCTTCCTCCATATTCCATGTTCTTTCACTGGTCCAAAGATACATCTTAAGATTCTCCTTTCAAATATACTTAACAGTCTTTCATCTGATCTTGACAGTGGCCAGGTATCAGAGGCATAAGATAGCACTGATCTTATAAGTACTGTATACATCATAGTTTTGGTTTTCCTGGGCATTAGCTTGGATTTCAGGTGTTTCCTAAGGCCATGGAGACATTTATTTATTGCAAGTACACGCTTTTTTATTTAATCACTGATATCATTTTTACAGTTAACTTCTGATCCAAGGTAAGTGAAACTACATATGACCTCAAATTTATATGAGCCAGTTTTAATATATGTAGGTCCATTAGCACAGTCTTTCTTGGTTACCAGCATGTACTTTGTTTTATTTTGGTTAATTTGTAGATTAATCTTTTTTGCTGCTCTTTCCAAATTAAGAAAAGCTTCTTTCATAGATTTTTGTGTTCTACCAGTTATATCAATATCATCTGCAAATGCCAAAATTTGAACTGACTTGTAGAATATAGTTCCCCTTGTGTTGATGCGTGCATATCTAACTACCTTCTCTAATGCTATATTAGGCAGGCTAGGGAATCCCCTTGTCAAACTCCATTTCTAGTTATTATAGGGCTGGACAGCATATTCTGAGTCTTAATTTAGCATGTCTTTCCCATAGTGGCTTTGACTAAGGCGATTAATTTCTGTGGAATGTGCATCTCTTCCATTGCCAGAAAAAGACTATCTCTATCTATGGAGTCATAGGCTGATCGGAAGTCAATGAAAAGATGATGTGTTTCAATTTGGAATTCATTACACTTTTCAAGGACCTGCTGAATAGTGAAAATCTGATCGTTAGTTGATCTTCCTTGATGAAACCCACATTGGTAATCCCCAATTATGCCTTCCACAAAGGGAGAGAGTCTGTTAAATAGAATGTTGGAAAATATTTTATATGCTATGCACAACAGACTAATTCTTTTATAATTAGAGCATACCATGACATCGCCTTTCTTATGGATAGGGCATACAATACTTAGGTTCCATTCCTCTGGGATTATTTCAGTTATCCATATCTTA